ATTTGTTCTTTATTTTTGTTTTATTTAAGTGAAATGATATATTCATCATTTTACAACTTTTAATAGAGAAAATGGATAAAAGTAATGATTTTTGCAATGAAATATGAAAATAATGATGAAAATGCTAAAAATAAAAGGCAGAAATGTTTTGCACAATATTAAAGATATGGACGTTCTGTGCTACTTATCATTTTAATAATTTATTTAGATTTATTAGTAGTTTTTAAAAAAGTTTGAAATTTGTTCTTTGATACCCCAAATGAAACCAAATCTTGGTTGAGTTAATTAAATCCCTACTCACTAACATTTATATCTGGTCACTATTTGCTCACCCTAAAATAAAATGTTACCGATTGCACACTCACTTTTACAAAGAGTTACCCATCCACCACCCGATTGCTTCCATCCGCTTACTTGGACAAAAAAATTACATGGGGCGGATGAAAATCTTACTTGTCAATTAACTCCATTAAATTTTGCCACCTGGGATTTGAACTCACGTATTTCCCTTCATTAAATTGAAAATCACATTTCTTCCCTTTCATTCATCCCCAATTCTTTACAAGCCCTAGCTAACCCATTTATTTTCCCCACACAAATCGATTTCTCTCAAAACCAAGATTCAGTCTCTAAATAAAAAAAAAAAAAGGAACAATCTCTTAAACCGTGAACCCATTTCTTCTTTTAACTGTTTTAATCGATTTCTCCCAAGCAAAAAAGGAACCAAAATAGCATGTGCATCCATCGTCCACGCTTGAGGATTTTCTTCTACATCATTTGTTTAATTGTTTTGACTGGGTGACCCACAAGTGCCAAACTCATTCTTTGGGAAGAGGAACAGGGTGACCCACAAGACCCATTAATGACAGTCATTGAAGAGGCCATTTTGGAGACAATAGAAGAAGGACCACATGGAGGTAAAAATTTTGTTTTTCACGTGATTTTTTTTTTTTGCCTCAACTGGATGGTATTTTGGGTTTCACGTGAATTTTTTTTGCCTTATTTTATATGATTTTCAGATTTATAAGTGTGTAACACTTGCTGAATTCCAGTAGGGAAAATTGTTATATGCATTTAACGTGAGTAAGTAAATTTTATTACACGTGTGATTGAAAATATACGGGAAAAATTTACTTTTCATATGATTCTCAATAATTATTTTCCAATATACACTTCACACACTTCACATTATGAAATACCCAAGGCTAGGAAAATTCATATTTATAAGTGTGACTAGCCACTCATAAGTATTCATATTTATAGCATTAGCAGCCCAAAGCCTCCAAAAATTTTATAAAAATATTACTTGAATTTCACCCATATGCTCTGTTTCTATATTGTAGAGTTATATACTCACGATGTTTGGTGCTTTGCAGATAATACATTTGAAGATGACGTGGAAGTACCCATTGAATGTCATTTGAGTGATTCAGACGATAATGTCAATAAAAATGGTTTTCAAGTTGACAATAATGCAAGTAAACATATTTTGGTTGGATTGAATGCAGACCCTGTCATCAAACTTCAGACTACTGGGGAAGAAGAGATGGGATCAGATGATGACTACTACCCAGGTGAAGAGGAATTGCACACCGATTATTCTTCCAATGAAGAAAACACTTATCGTTTCCCGGTATATGATTAGAGAATGAGAAGTTAGATTCTCGGCTGGAGGTTGGAAAACAATTTTAAAATATAGAGGAATTTAAGCAAGCAGTTAGAAACCACGGGGTAGCAACAAGGTGCAACTTTAAGTTTAGGCCTAATGATGAGTTTAGAGCCCAGACCATTTGTAAATTAGGGTGTACATGGAAAATATGGGCATCGTGGAATAAAAAAAGGGGTGCGTGCAGATAAAGTCTAAAAATTCAGAACATATATATATATATATATATATATATATATATATATTAGAAGTTTGCAAGAGAGGTTTTTAGCAGGTTGTAGGCAACTTTTAGGGTTGGATGAGTATTTTTTGAATGTGACATTTGGAGGACAGATGCTTGTAGCAATGGCATTAGATGCCATGATTGTATTTACCTAGTAGCATATGCTATGGTGGAGAAAGAAAATGCAACTACATGGAGGTGGTTTATACAACATTTGAGCGAATATTTGAAAATTTGAAATAGCAACGAATGGACTTTTATGACAGATAGGTAGAAGGGTTTGCAAAATGTGATAGAAAATTTGTATCTCGAGGTAGAACATCGGTATTGTGTTAGACACATGTACACCAATTTCTTCAAAGCCGGTTTCAAGGGGTTGATTCTCGAGGAGTACTTATGGAAGGTTGTGAAGTCAACAACAGTGCTTGATTGGATGGTTTCAATGGGCGAGATTGAAAAGATAAGTCTTGTAGCACGTGATTGGTTAAAGAAAAGGCACTCAAGTGAATGGAGCAAGGCTTATTTTCTTACAAAGGTGAAGAGTGATATACTTTTGAACAACCTATGCGAAGTTTTCAACAATTTAGTGTTGGAAGAAAGAGAGAAATCCATATTGATGCTGCTGATCGATTTGCATATAAGTTCCATGAAGAGGACACAAGCAAGGAAATACAATATGAAGAAAGTCATAGGCCTTTATGTCCTAAAGTGCAACGAAAATTGAAGACGTCCATTGAGTTAGCAGAGAGATGTGAGGTTAATTGGTCTGGAGGAACACAATCTTATGTGAAATGTACAACTGGAGAATATGTTGTTGATCTACTGAACAAGACATGTGCATGTAAGAGATGAGATTTATCGGGGATTCCTTGTGCTTATATAGTTGTTTTTATTTTTTATAGAAGAGATGAGCCCTGAAAGTATGTACATCAGTGTTATAGAGTGAGCACATACTTGAGTTGTTACGAGAATATAATCAATCCTATCAATGGAGCAAAATTATGGCCTCGAGTAAATGCTCCCCCAGTAAAACTACTGGAATGGTGTTTGCCTAAAAGAGGAAGGAAACAGAAGAAGAGACGAAGACAGGAAGAAGAAAATGTTTTAACTCGTTCTGGGTCCAAAGCAAAGTTGAATAAAAATGGTACTATGATTATTACTTGTAATGTCTGTAGATTAATAGGCCACAACAAGAGGTATCAAAAAAAAAAAAAAATGTTCAAAAACGATATCCCGTAATAGCAACGACCAAAATGGGAGCTGCGTAAACCGTAGAATGTTATTAGATGTATTAATTTTGCATCCACCACCCCCCGCTATTCCAAAAAAAGGGAAAAAAAAAAAAAAAAAAAAAAAAAAACTAATGCACCACAATAGGTTGGTTTATAGTAAAATCCACATTGTGTTTTTTATTATTTTCCAGGCCATATGAACGATTGATCTTCGTTTAAATGGTTGTTATAGGATTAGTATTATGAGGCTGCAAATCCCGTAAATGAAAGAAGCTCTAGCCATATTCAAAGTGCAAGCTCAAGGGTAATCAAATTCATCCTAATATCGTCCATTGATGAACATGTAAAATAATTTTTATATACATATATGACGACTTGTACAGGCAAAACTCATGCCTAAGAAACCATCAAGGATGCCTATATATGAAGTGCAACCACCAGTACCAACTTCTAATTTTCAATTCACGCCAACCCATGGAATTGGTATAACTAGTGGAGCACACTTTATGGACTATGGTCCTGCACCTATTGAGCAAGATAGTTCAACAATGGGCAAAGCTCCACTTGAATTCTTGGTGGAAGACTTGCAATTGATAGATAACCAAGAGAAAGAAAGAAAGAAGGCAGCCATTGTATAAAAGAAAAGGACTGTTGGAGGGTCAATTCCATTTGCAATTCCAAGGAAAACTTCAGCAACTCAGTAGTGTTATCATTTTGTCGTGGGCATATTTTGGGTTTTGAAGGCAACAAACTACGATGCACCAATGTAATTTTGTGATTAATTTCTTTTTGGTACAATAGTTGAATGATGTGAAGTGGAATTAATTTGGTGTAACGTTGAACTTGATCAAATGCAGTTAGAATGGGATTTTGATATAAATTTGTTGTTCTGGTAATAAGACATAATTTGTTTGTCAGGATACAAGGACCTATATTCAATTATTATCCTACAGCCATACCTGATTCCAACTAATGCAAGCACAAACTAACATAATTTAAAAAAAAAAAAAAAGGAAAAAGATACTAGACTAGAATCTAGAATACATGTAATAGTCATAATTTGACCATATTACAAATTGAAATTGTAAAATACATCAGGTTTGAAATTTCTAGCTAATTTCCATTAAATTTGAAATTGTAAACTATGTCAGGTTTCCTTGGATGATTTCACAACCATCAACACTAATACACTTATCATTTCAACCATTGATAGAACACCACAACCATTCCTACACCATCAATATACGACTTACAACACCACCAACCTACCAACTACATACTCAAAAAATCACAACAACATTTAATTCACTTTTCCAACAATTTTCTATATGAGATTAGGCCCTTGTTTGAGCCCCTTTTTTTTGGAAGAATGAATTTTTGAATAGTATATTGATGGGAAATGTGTGGTTAAAAAATAAGGAAAAGTTTTGGATTTACGTGTAATATTATTTTATTGAAAAATGTGATGTTGAAATGATGTTAAAATACCGTTGAAAAATGTATTTTTTCAAAAGAATGTGGCTCAAACAAAGGCTAGATTTGATTTCTTGATGAGTAATGAGGAGCTTTAACTGGGCTTCTTCTACCGACTACAGGAAGTCCAAGCATTTATCCTCTCCTTGCATGTGATAAAATAGATCATTGGGGTATTAAATTGTGCAATTCTTTTCCTTCATTTAAATTCCGCAGAAAGAAAAGTAGATATCAATACAAGACAAGTTGCTATAAAACAAGAACAAAAAAATTGACATCACTACTGAATTTCAGGAGCAGAACAAAAACCAGATAATGTAAATTTACTGAGTCTTTCTAAACTTCTTCCTGCTAAAAACATTATTCTTTCTAAAGTATGGTTCCCATTTAAGTAGTGCCTTTAATTGTCACTACCTCCATGTGACAGTGAAGAAAATAGAAGGAAAAAGCAACACACAATTAAATAAATGGTGTAGAAGATAATCCCGACCAAAACAGTTAGGAGAAAATCCCAGTCAAAACAATTAAACAAATGATGTAGAAGAATATCCTCAAGCGTGAACGGTGGATGCACATGCTATTTTGGTTCCTTTTTTGCTTGAAGAATCGATTAAAACAATTAGAAGAAGAAATGGGTTCACAATTTAAGTTCCTTTTTTTGATTTTGATTTTGATTTAGAGATTGAATCTTGATTTTGAGAGAAATCGATTTGTGTGGGGGAGAATAAAGCTTGTAAAGAATTGAGGATGAATGAAAAAAATGTGATTTTCAATTTAATGAAGGGAAATACATGAATTCAAATTTCAGGTGGCAAAATTTAACGGGGTTAATTGACACATTATATTTTCATCCATCACGTGTAATTTTTTTGTCCAAGTAGGCGGACGGAAGCAATCGAGTGATGGATGGGTAAGTCGATAACGTTTTATTTTAGGATGAACAGTTAGTAACCGATATAAACGTTAGTGAGAGGATTTAATTAACTCAATCTTGGTTGTCTCCACCTTGGAGCGTCAGAGACTCAAAGTTGAGTCAGCCGATCAGCTGAGTATTAGGGTTTGTTCATCCTGGGAATGAAGAGAGATGTCTCGCCAAATGACGACTTCTGCTTTTCACAATTCCAAAACCCTCGACAATAAATATGTAAGCACACCAATTCTCTATGCTTTTCTGTTTCTGTATTCAATTTAATACCCTAATTTGATTGATTTTACTCAAAAAAATGAATTGCAGATGCTTGGAGATGAGATTGGGAAAGGTGCATATGGACGAGTATACAAGGGTTTGGATTTGCAAAATGGGGACTTTGTTGCAATCAAGCAAGTCTCTCTCGAGAACATTGCTCAGGAGGACTTAAACATTATTATGGTATCTCAAATTTTTGTCCATTTTTTTTTATTTTTTTTGTGTAATATGTTCCACTGAATTTGTTGCTTTTCCTTTTGAATAATGCTGTTGTTGGACACTTGGATGCTTGGACTTGATAGCAAGAGATTGATTTGCTCAAGGTAACATCCTGCTATGTCTATACGTACATACATACATTTGTGCGCGCATGGACACATTTTATTTGGGTCTCTCACAGTCCCAGTATATCGAATTTTCACCTCCTCCATCCCTCGATTGCTTAATTTCTTGTCTTGCTTCTCTTTCGAAGGAAATGGAGTACGGTCATATCTTAACTACTATTTCCCTTGAGATTGGGGGAGACAAAATTGCTTCTCTACCTAGCTCAAGGCTTGAACCTGTGAGAGCCCTCTATTTGACCGTGGATCTGTGTCCCAAGAGGATTAGTTCAAGCAGTTAAACACACACTCACTCATACACTTGTTAATCAATCGCCTGGCTAATTAAAAGAGCTACCTGTATTGTTGCCTGTGATAATGCATACGTTTTTCTTGAACGTCAACATTCATTCCGCTATGGAACTTGTTATATGCCTGTGGACATGTGGTTCAGTTGCACTTCTTCTTTCCAAATTGGTCTTTTCACTAGAAATCTCACAATCGTTTGGGAAACTGATTGTATGAGAAGCGAGCATCCTCATTGCACTAAATTTTTGTCACTCTTTTTATCTTCTCATGTTCTGCACCTACCATTATGAGCTGTTGATATGGATTTTTCACTTCCATAGTATTTTATACGAATATTGGACATTTGGAGTTCTATTATGTTTTGTCTTCCACTGTTCTCTCGCTGGATGGTTCTCTTTCTCTTGCAGAATTTAAATCACAAAAATATTGTGAAATATCTTGGATCTTTGAAGACAAAGACTCATCTACATATAATTCTTGAGTTAGTCAAGCTGACAAGATCTCAGTATTTTTCAATTTATTTACTTGTAAAGAGATCACAAGAACTTATAAATTTTATCACTTTGTTTTAAAGATACGTGGAGAATGGATCACTCGCTAATATTATCAAGCCAAATAAATTTGGCCCTTTTCCGGAGTCCTTGGTGGCCGTATACATAGCCCAGGTCTCAGAAGGAAAACCTCATTGTTCATTAGCTATTTTATGTTCACTACATTGCTTGTAAATGTTCAGCAATAAACTTGTTGTCAGGTACTTGAAGGTCTGGTATATCTACATGAACAAGGTGTCATTCATCGAGATATCAAAGGGGCAAATATTTTGACAACAAAAGAGGTATGTTATCACAATTGTTTTTAGGGTGTTTTTCTGCTCTCTTGCATCATTTTGTGCGTAGGATATTTTCTAATACGATTTGCTTTTTGTTTCTATTATTGATTTAGCTAGCTAAAAATCAAGTTTAGTAGATTTTGATGAAGTTGACGGATAAAAAGTTGATAAAAGTTGTGGTTCCATGAAATGTAAGGTTGAAAATAAATTTGAGGAAAAATGAGTTTTGGAAAATGGGGACCAAAACAAGGGCTTAATTTCAGCTAAAAAACTTATCTCGATTCTTCTTCAGTTGATATGAGGAAAATTGTAATTCTATTTAATTTTTTGATTTAACTCTGATCTCATCATGCATCAGTTGTGAATTTGTTTAGTTTTTTTTATTTAATTTGTCTGGCTGCTAGGATTTGTCTTATGTATTTTTTAAGAAAAAAATTAAGCTTGCTGAACATGGTAGTTCCCTGAACTAACTCATGCTTTCAGGGACTTGTGAAACTTGCGGATTTTGGGGTTGCAACAAAACTGACTGAAGCTGATGTGAATACCCATTCAGTTGTTGGAACGCCGTACTGGATGGCCCCTGAGGTATTGCTTTGCTGCCCATTATTGGCATTTGAACCCGATAGCTGTTTCATGAAGTTGGGAATATGGCATCTTTGTTTGTTGTTGGTACCACAAAGACTTTTCTCTTATGGTTTTATGAGGGGTGAGGTATACCGTTGGCAAGTAAAAATTTGCAAGACCTTTCCGTTAATAATATGATACGCTGAGGTTTCTTTTTTTTTTTTTTTTTAAATTTTTAATAAGTAATCAAGTAATTTTTATTAATCAATGGATAATACATGGGAGGTGTATTATCAAATTGAACAAGAAAGAAAAGACATAAAATTTGGCAGTCATTCTATGCGATTAGTGGCCGTAGCATTAAATCAAGTCTACAAAGTCATATAAAACAATTCTCTAATCTGCTTTGTTGTTTTTGTTTGGTTTTCGAAACAATGACAGTTCCTTTCTCTCCAGACACACTATACAATGCATTTCGCAATAAGATTTCACGCAAGCCTACTATCTTTATCTAGAAATTTTCTTCTCCATACCTGCAACACATCTTCTATGCGCCTAGGCAACACCCAATTCAAATGTTGGGAAGCTAGAATATCGTTCTACAACCATCGAACGCCGTCACAATGGAGGAACAAATGGTCAATCGTTTTCCCATCTCTCTTGCACATATAACACCATTCGGTAATATAAAAACCTTTTCTTCGAAGATTATTCATCGTTAACGCCTGCTTCCTCATAACCGTCCATAACAAGAAAGCCACCCGTGGAGGCAGTTTACATTGCCACACCATCTTTTAGGGAAATCAACTCTTCGGTCCCAATATGGATCTAGAATAAGTGCGAACTGAAAAAATATCATCTCGTGCCAACTTCCACCTGCTCTGATCACCCTCTCCTACTTGAATATGCGCCTCGTGCAAAGAGGTTAAAAACAGTGCATAATCATCCAATTTTCATTCCTGCAAACCTTTCTCAAAGGCAATATTCCAGCTGTAACTTTCATTATGTATGGCTAGTGTATCATTCACCATAGCGGAATGCTCCAAAGCAATGCGATGCAAAGAAGGAAACCGTGCCTTTAGCGGATGATCTCAACACCAGCAATCATCCCAAAATGTGATACTATTGCCATTCCCTACCACATAAGTCAATTTCTCTCGAAATTCATTCCATCCTCGTCAGATATACTTCCACAAACTCACCCCATAAGATCTACGACCATCGATTGAGCACCAACCCCCCTCCATCACACCACACTTCGCTCCTATGGTGATAAGTTGAGTTTTTAGGCTATGTTAGAGGTGAAAACTGAAAACATAAGCCATTGTGATGCGGACATCCATTTATTATTTATTTTCTATTTGGACTATTAGTTATATTTTATTTGGACTATTGTTTATGTTTTCACTATTAGGCTTGCTTAGTGGGTTTGGCCCAAGCTCTTCTCTTTAGGGTTTGTGTTCTGCTAGTTATTTCTGTTTTGTTTCTCATTTGAGACAGTTGATGATGAATTAGAATTGAAATATTTTTGGTGGCTTGCAGCCGTTTTCTCCCTCCCCTCTCTTCCTCTGGTTTCTTCTACTCTTCTCCCTTTTCTCTGTTTCTCCTCCCCGTTCCTTCTTCTTTCTTTCTTGTTCATCCTACATCAAATTTGGTATCAGAGCCGAATCTTGGGTACTTTCTTTTACAATCCAAAATCTCTTCTTTTCTCCCAAATTTTGTTGGGACAGCACAAATTAAAAGGATTTTGGTAAAGGCAGCAATTTTATTCTTCAATTTTCAGAGTTAGTTGGGGAAAAAAAATTCGTGTTACTGTTCACGGGTACTGTTCACACCCGGCTTCGAAATTTTTGATTTTCATTCTGTAGTAAAAAAAAAAAAATATATGTTGTTCAATTTGATTGATTTGCTGCTTCCTTTTGCATTAAAGTTGCTGTTTCAAACCCTAGTTTATATTTTTTTTTTTCAATTCCATATATTCTAGCCCAACATATATTCCAGCCCAACATAATTTTCAGTGTAAACTCAGCCCGTATTGAACACGGCCCAAACCCACCTAACCCACTAATTCGTAATCCATAGACTCGGTCAAGCCCATATCCCTAACCCAATTACAGCAGCCCATTGATTCATTATTCCAACTCTACTTATACTCCAAGCCCATAAGACCCAATTACCATACAAACCAATTATCCAGCCCACACCCACATTTGCCCATTATACCAATCGCCGGCCCAACTCACAATACCCGGCCCAACCCAACTCTTATCTCACTACCCAAATCAATTTCCCAACCCGAGCCCTAAGTCATCCTGTCACTCCCCACGACCAGCAGCTCACCCCGTCAATACCCACGATGTCCAGTCGCCCGTTCCCTCCTACCCGTCACCGTCGCCGATTTGCACCCCAGTCGGACTTCACCACTTAGTCGGCCGACCATCAATCGGCCGGCCATTGCTCATTATCCTAGATGCCGGCCACTTCTCGCCATTTGTGAACTGCCATTGCTCATTATTTCCATAAGCCAGCGTCTACAGTTTCAGTCTACTACCAAGCAACCCATTCAGTTACACAGACGTTTCTATTTCAGTATCTGTCCAATTTCAGTGAAGCCAACAATTTAGAATATGCAATGACCGTGAGTTCAGGAGCTGGAGACATTTGATACAGGCAGATCGGAGGCCCAATCGTTAGCAATTCAGGCAACTAGACTACATGGAGTTGCTATCTCCTAATTCTCATTGGTTTATACTTCTGTTTTATTTTAAAAGTGCATCACTTAGATTCTTTGTGTTGCTGTTACTATCACAACTTTAGCCTCAAACTTCACTTGACTGGAATCACTCATTGAATTGACTTGCCATTGTTGCCCCATTTATCTTACTGAATTGATGTGCCATTGTTACCTCTTTTATCTACCTAATTAGAAATCTTGACAATACCATTTGATCTTGACAAGTATTGGACCCTTGCTTTATTATTTACAAGCATCAGCACTATTAACTTGCATTTTTGGAAGGGAAGAAAAGAGAGAGAGAGAGAATTTCAAATTGATGTTTTAATCATTGGTCCTTGATGCATATTGGTCTCTCTATTGCATTTCATTTAGGTAGTATTGCTTTGCGTACAATTGCCTAGTGGTCATCATGTCACTTTACTACTTTAAACATGAACCCCTCACAATTTGATGCACTCACCCGACAAATAGCAGCTATCCAAGTCGTCCTGTCACTTTACTACTTCAACATGAACCCCTCACAATTTGATGCACTCACCCAACAAATAGCGGCTATCCAAACTTAGGTGATTACTACTCTTGAAGAAAGTAAGGCTTTATCCGCTAATTTGAACAACTTTAAGAAAATCCCTCGTTCAACCGACGTTCATAAATCCAAAGTGACCCATAATAGATATTATCATCATCATCATGGTGATCAAAAATGCTTTAGACACGATCGTAGGTATAGGGATCAGATTCGTGAGCGAGAACGAAATAATTTTGAAATTCTTACTCAATGGAATGCCCTTAAACAAGGAAATCAACTAGTGACTGAGTATATTTCGAATCAAATGTCATTTAATTGAGGACGAGACTACGACTTTGAGTAGGTTTAGCCAAGGTCTGAGAGATGATCTTAGGCGTGAGCTTTTTCTTCGAGGTGTCACTACTCTTGATCACGTTTACTCGTTAACTCGAGATTATGAGTTGATTATTAGTACTCCATATGAAAGGCGTGGTCATCGTCGTTCACCCATCCCATTAGCGTCTCCTCGTCATAAGTCTATCATAAAGCCTTCTCCGTCTAATGTTCCTCCTATTTGGAAAGATAATTGTAAAGGTCGTGATAGTCCAAGATCTTCTTCATGTAGAAAGCATATTGACAATCATCCTTCAGTGTCATTGGCTCCACTTCTTCCTGTTAAGTCCCCTCTAGGACCTCCCCCGTCTGACGTTCCTCCAATTTTGAAAAATATGGGTAAAATTTTTGATAATCATCATTTGGCTTCATTGGCTCCACCTCCTCCCGTTAAGTCCCTTCTAGGACCTCCTCCTTCTAATGGTTCTCCAATCTTGAAAAATCAGGGTAGAATTTCTGAAACTCCAAGGTCTTCTTCTCACTTGTTGTGCATCAACTGTAAAGACTTTGGTCACATTTCTTCTAAATGTCCTAATCGAACCTTAGTCATGGAAGAACGAAAGAATGTAA